ACTGTAGTTTGTTTATAGAGTGTCAACAACCATCTCAGCAATAGGTCAAATGAAAACAGCCTCCTGGACCTACAAAAACACCTGCATGAAAAAGTGCCAAATGGCTAAACATTACTCAACCAGTTTCCTGGTTTGTTGGTTAGCTTCACAGGTCATTTCACTTGACTTTCTAACTTGTTTAATCAGTTTCTGTGATTATACTAATGTTTAATTTGCCTACCATAGAAGTCAATAATACAATATATTATGGGAATTGTGGGAACTATATTAGTTTTGGTTATGAAATCTACTTTTCTTGGTAGTATTTGGTTTCTGTAAACTACTGCACATTTCTCGAATGCTTATTGCATTTTTAAAGCCGTGTGTTTTCGTGGCAGCCTCCTCTTCCATGAATTTTGAAAACAATAACAAGGTACAGAAGTTTGAATTCAATGTGTATTTGTCTTTATTCAGCACAAGGTCAAAAAATACAAACGGGCTCAAATCTATACATTCACCTTTCCAATATTAGGTTCAGTCGCTCTTAGCAAGTTCCAGAGAGATGGCACACATAAAATATTTAGCCATTGCTTCTCTGGGATCTTCACCGTATTCCAAAAAAATGCTTGGATTCATTTACGTTAATGGGTTTGATACCTCAACTTTAAGACATAACTTAAAGAGTAGTAATTCACTGAAAGTAATGTTAGCTGCAGTTTCTGTATGTGAGTCTACGTGTATAATTTAGACACTGTGGATCAGAAAACACAATAAATACAGACCTAATTCATGTTTTAAAGTCTGACTAAAGAAATGTAAGATGTACAATTCTGACCAATATTGTAAAAAGGACTAAAAACACATTTGACTGACTTGTTACCTTTCCTCTTTTCAGATCAACACATTCTGTTGGAGCTTGAAAAACGGAAAATAGTGGCCTTCACCCCTTCCCGCCGGGTTGGTGGCAAGCGAGTGGTTTGCTATGATGACCGCTTCATTATCAAACTGGCGCATGATTCAGATGGCATAATTGTGTCCAACGACACCTACCGTGACCTTCAAGGAGAAAAACCTGAGTGGAAGAAATGCATTGAGGAGAGGCTCCTCATGTACTCATTTGTGAATGACAAGTAAGGAGAACGTCCCAGGTCTTTTTTTACAGTGCCGCTGTTTAATAAAGGGCTGCTGCTGCTGCATTAGAGGCACACCTTCTAGCTTATTGAAATTTTGTGAAGGACCTTCTTTGAAGTAGCGTTGTCTTTATTCTTGTCTCTTTTTACAGGTTCATGCCTCCAGATGACCCTTTAGGTCGACATGGACCTAACCTCGACAACTTTCTCCGGAAAAAGCCCCTCCCTGTGGAGCAGAAAAAACTGCCCTGTCCATATGGTAAGGAATTATTGCCTCAGCGAACAGATATTTTATTTCATAAAGGAATCCCTTGGCTAGTGTTTTCGCTCTCAAATTTAGACAAACAATGAAAACACAACTGGATAATTAGGCAGGGGTTTCAAATTTATAAAGTGCGTTGATGAAGAAGCACCTTATTCATTTTATTCATAAAAGTAAAATTTTTATGAATAAGATAAATAAATCCCATATATATATTTTTTTAGAATAAATTGGCAAAACAACAACAACAATCTATAAGTTGTAAATTAAGCTGATAGCTTCAAATATGTTTCTGCAGTTTCCACTTTATGACAGAAGATTATGGTGATAATTAGATCGTGCGTTTATATGAATGTCTTTCAGATAAAAAGTGCACTTATGGCATGAAGTGCAAGTACTACCATCCTGAGCGGGCAAACCACTCCTACCTGTCCTTGGCTGATGAACTGAGAGAGAAAGCACAAATTTCTTTTGTAAAAGAAGAGAGAAAGGCAAAATCATCAGTCAGCTATCCTCAATCTGAACCTGAGCCTTCTCATCCTCGACACACACATCTCCCTTGGGATCAGCAGATTTCCTCAGTTCCTGGTCACGTTAGTGAAAATAAACTACTGCTCTGGGAAAACTTCAGGAAAAGCCCCAACCAAATGCCGTCTTCATCAAACGGAGGAAAGTGTCAAGAAGACTATCCCCCGTCATACTATATGCTGAATCATTATTATCCTAATATGTCTCGGGAATATTTTGACTCTGGTTTTGGTTCGAGTGAGAGCTACTACTCTGACTTGCCGCCATCCCTGAGCAGCACCCACAGACTTGGTCCTCAGCATCAAAGCACCCTCCCCGGGCTCCAACGTTCCCCAGTTCACATGGAGAACTGCAATACCAGTCATTGTGGCAAATACCATTCCTACCCGCATCAGCGACATCACAGCAACATCGATTGCTGCAGTCAACCCATCTATGACACCTACAATCCAAATATGTTCCCACACGGTGTACATCAGCAACGGAGCCTGCCTGCCCATTTCCATAACACTGCGACCCCCCAACTCCATCATAATTACTGGTCAGATCCCTTTCAGGGTGCGCCACCAGCCAGGTCCTCATGCCCCGCCCCCTCCTTGGCCTACCCTTCACACTGCCACAGCTCCTGTTGCTCCTATGAGAATCACCAGTACCAAACCTGGGGCCAGCAACAACAGCAACCGCCGCTGCCGCCGCCGGCTCCTGCTGCATTCAAGCAAAATAGGTCAGAAATGCGCAAGAAACTGCACGCCATCTTCAACCCAAACCAAGTGGATAGGGTCATGGAGATGTTCCCGGAACTGATGGATGCTGAAGTTTTGGCTGCAGAGATACTGAACATGAAAGCTCAGGGGATGATATTCTGATCATGGTTCTGCTCTCTTTGATCTGGAATATCAAAATATTTAGGACAATTTCAGTGAAGGCTGCAACAAAGTTAACAGAAAAAAAATACGATCTGAATATGATGGTGTCATCATGCCCACGTAGAACCACATCGATGTTTTTTATGGCAACCATCACAATGAGGTGTGTTCGGGTTAAACACAAAAACACGTTGATTGATTTGAACCTCTAGATAGATGGACACATGTACTGAGAACTGATGAATGCCCACAGAGATAGATTAAGTTAATTAACTGAAATAGAGAAACCGTTAACACATTAATCTCGTACTAAAATAATCAGTAGCTGCAGCTGTGTGTCAGAGAGTATTTGAAAATGTGTTTTTCAGGGAACTAATATAAAATATATTGTAGCGATGCCTCATTCTATATGCTTTCTATTATGCTACTGAAATATTTATGAAAATTGAACTTTTGCTGCGTTGTATGTACGACATTGTTGTCAAATGTAACTTTACCATTCAATTTTTGGATGGAATGTGCCTCTAGACCAAAGATGACTTCAGGAGTTTTGACTGTTGATGCATATTGTGTCAAATATTATTTTAAGTTCTCGTGCTGTATTAAAAGTTTTATGCTTTTGCTTTCGCTGTAGTTCTCCGAAACAGTCTGCTCTTCCAGTATTATCCCACAAGGAAGCCAAGCAGAGGTGACTTTTAAAAACACTTCACCTGAATTAAAAGGAATTTACCAAGTACGCTTTTCCCGTTCCTGTAAATGTGCATCATTTCCATGAAACGCGTACTGGCAAAAATGTAATTTATGTTTTTAAGTGAATATTTTAATAAAGATAGAAATAAAAATATAATTCAACATATATTTGAATGAGTGAGTGTGATTGTCTTGGAGAAAAGAGTAAGGCAAACAAGCTGAAACAAATTTTACCTTTCAACTACATTTAAATGCTTTCACCAAGTTCCTTGAAATTAATCTTTCTGGACTGAGATTGAGTCAGTGGTCTCATATCTCATGCCAGCAACGCCCTGGATTTTCAAAATGTAAATGCTTTAAAGACTCTTAAAGTGTTATGCTAAATTCTGATGAATTTAGAAATTCATCAGAATGAATAATCAAATTAATTAATCTATGATATTTAACTTTTAATAGTATTTAGCATGTTAAACCTGGGGCTGTCTTTTATTAAGCAGAATTGGGATCATTAATGTTAGTCCGGTTCAGCCTGGAGTCAGGACTTCAACCTTCTATTTTAGCAGTGGATAAATTATTCTACTTAGATTTTTACCATGAGTTGATGTATAGCCCGTGCTAGATCAAAATTAAAGGCATCGATCAGATTATCTTAAAGTGGCGTTCTCTTGATTGGTTAGTTGATTAGAGGAAATGTTCTTGACTTCTTCAACTTTAAAAAATGCTCTCTAGTTACATTACAAGAGGAGACGCTAATATCTTTAAACAACTCTAAGCTTTAAACTTAAAATATTATCCAGTCAGAGGAAGTATCTGATGCAAATGAAAGAATGTTAAAATCAAGGAAACAACTTTATATTGTTCAGACAAAATGATTTTACTGTCCATTTCACTGCACACTACAGTTGTAAAAGATAGTTACTCTATCAAAATACCTAACACCTGCAGTTTACAAAGCATGAGACATGGGAGGTTTGTAAGAAGAGCTATATTTTGTTAGGAAGCGCTTTACCTCTGGCTCTAAAATAAATAAGGAAGATTCCGATTTCTACTGCATCCAAGTTATTTACTAATTATATCACTTAGTACAACGCCACTTCAAGAAATCTGAACTGGCACTTTGATTAAATCGTCAAGCTTTTCTATTTTTGTTTTTAATTTGTTTGTGGATTTCTTCTTCGCTGGTGGCAGAGCAACCACAATATTACTAGAGTTTTGCTGTATATAAGCCAAACAGTCTGTGAGCACAAACACAAAAATGCAAAGAAATATTTCAGGAATCAAATACATATCTGTTTTCTGTAAGAAATAATTCCTGTTTGATGTCTGAGTCACGTTTCCCAAGTTTATATCATGTCAAAATCTTTTAATTGTCGTTTCATAACTATTTTGACTGTTTCAGAGATTTGAAACATGCACCACCCATAGGTAGTCAAAATAAGGAGTGTGTATTATCAGTGTAATTATAACCTTACCAGGATACAACATTGACCAAATGTAGATAATGTAATAATGCAAGTTTTATAAGTATTATTTGCAACTAATCCGTTTCTTACGTACTTTATTTAGAGTCAAAGCAAGATGTGAAGAAAGAAAATGCGACCTAGATATTCAATTACCAACAATATGATATTTTGAGCTGTCATAAAATATAAGGCAGTTTTCCAGCAGCACTTGCAAAGAGACTTTATTTCTTAACACTTCTCAATATGTGTCAGTGTCTTACATAATATAGTCAATCTGAATAAATAAATAAATAAGCAGTACTTGGTCATTTAAAAATACAGTGATTGTCTTTTCTTCAAATAAATATGTTTACTCGTTTTTGCTTTTACCTGGACAAATATTCACAACAAAGAATATTTTCAGATGCAAAGTAGTTTAAAAGACATGCCGTTATTCATCTGTAGGTTTAGTGTGGCCTCGTCATTAAGAAACTCTAAGCATGACATTACTTTTTGGTAAAGTTGTTTTTATTTTGTTGCTTGCTTTGCAGCTAATCTCTAAGACATAGCAATCTGTAGAAAAAATAAAAAATGACTTGTTGTATAGACATTTTATTTTATCTCAACCTTTCAAATTCCCCTTTGAACCTTAGGGGATACTGTACATATTGCCTTGAAACCTTAATTCTTTAAATAAATAAAAAAATTAAAAAAAAAGTTGCTTTACATGAAAAAATCATTGATTTCATGTCTGTCCACAAAAAGTCACACATTGGCTGTCTTACATGGGGTATAAGACATACTTGGTAATTTGAGAGAGATATTTATGTCAGATATTTATGACATGAATTTTCTTCATATAGCAAGTTTACTATTGTGCCTAATGTTCTGCCTGATCCACAGGATTCTTTTATTCCCAGGCCATCAACAACTTGTGGAATGGCACAAAGGCACCATGTCCCGGTTTGCTGCCAAGAAAATGAAATTACATTTAGATACATGACTGGAAATGTAGTTTCACAAGCAAAAACACATGACAACCTCTCAAACACGTGCTTAACCTTCTGCACATGTATTGAGCTACTTCTGTTTAAATTATCTGAGTAGTCATAGAGGAAATACGTTCAGAAATTCCCTTTTGCTTTGTTTGTCACTCAAATCAGACATTCTCATGACTCACCTTTTAAACCTTGTAGTCTGAACCTGCTCAGCAGGCTTTAAGACTGCTAACTGAGGTCAGCAAGTTAGGGAAAATGAAGGTGTATGAAAGGTAGAGTTTAGCTATTTTTGTTTTAGTATTAGGAAACAATAGAAGACTAATCGTCAAATAAACCAAAGCATATTCATTTAAAAGTGGTGGGTTTACTTCCAAAGAAGCTGTGATATGATCATGTTATAAAGCACAGCTGAGAACCTTCTAGTTGGCAAAACAGACTTGCAGCATCGCACTTAAATTCTTCAGATAAAACACACAAAATATACCCACAAGGTACTTGATGTATTTATGGGGAAATTGATATTAGTTACCATTGATATTAGTTACCATTCAAAGTAGGTATGTCCATTATGACTGCCGTCACACAGTGATGCATCATGGCTCTGCAGTTCCACGCCAAGGTAGAGCTCTGGCTCCCCCTGCAGGTTCCCCAAGAAACGAACTGTTCCTGTGCTGATCCGGCCAGATGGCAGCATGATCCTAACCCGATGGCCCAGTTGCAAGTCCATGGGTGAGTGGGGGACAAAAACCCGATGTGGGCCAGGAGACGTTTTCCAGGATCGCACACTTCAGAAGGGAAAAAAATAAGTTAGTTCTATATCAAAAACTGAGGTTCATTAGTTTTTTTTTCTCACTAAATTTGTAGTCTGATCTGCATAATTTTTGTTTTTGTGTAGATAAAAACAATGCTTTGATTAAAAAAAATTTATATATGTATTTTAATTTATTTTGTCACATTAAGTGATTTGTAGAGGAAAAGCATTTTCCGTGTGAAATTGACATTCTGTTAATTGTCCTAACTGAAGAAGACACTGAATGGGAATGGATATGGTCAAAAACAGTACTCGGGTCAGCAGTGGTGTTTAAACAGAGTTCAGTTGTCCCAATAAGTGTTGCCAGATTGGGTGGGTAACCTCCCAGTTGCTTCTTATGGGCTAGAAAAAACAACTTTAGGTGGATTGTTAACATTTGAGGAACTTTTCACATTTGGCAGGCTTTTTGAAAGCATTCATATGAAAATTCCATCAAATTGTTTGTCATTGTGTGGCAGAAAAGCACAAACTTGTTAATTTTATTCAAACATGTTCTTGCTCTCATTTTATTAATTTATTTATTTTTGAAATGTCTACATTCTGTCAAATATGACATCATCATTGATTGATAGTTACTGGTCAATCAAGCGTCGCTATGAAATGTATTAGTGAAATGTATGTATGAAATGTATTAGTCAACTGTAAGGAATTTCACTAAGCTACACTGAGGTGTGTTGGCTTGATGTTCAAAGGAAGCATCATGCTGAAGTGGGAAAAGTGCTAAACTTATCCTAAGGACATGGAGGCTGATTTGGAGATAAAATTGTGGATTGCACCTCTCCCAGAGGATTCTAAAGGTTAATGCAAACAACCCAAATCTGACTTGCAAAAGGGTAAGCAGGATATTCAGGTTTAGTCAGGGCTACAAGATTGACATGTGGATTGGTAGACCATCAAGTATAACCAGATTTACAAGGACAAACAAGACTCAAATTTATTGCAAAATGATTTACAAGTAGAACAGTAAGAAGATAAGATGTATAATTAAAAATTGCAGCATTTAGGGTAGCATCAGCCAACAACACGGTTGCTGCACTGAGTTTCCCCACTATTACTGTTTTGAAAAGAATAGTTTGGAGAAATTCCCGAAGCAGATTTAATGCATACTGCTGATGTTGCTACTGCACCACACCCCCCGTTGTCCCGTACTGCCTTTGTGGTATTTTTTGTAAATGTGCAGCTGTGCTGGATAATGAGGTTCCCACTTGTGACTTATGAACTGGTAGAAGGAGCTCTGAGGCGACTCATCTTCCCAAGTTTGTGACAGAAATGTTTTGTGAAACAGCCTTGAGTTTTCCACTTTAAATTTTTACTCCAGTTGCTCTTCCTGCCAATTTATCCAACTTGAAATGTGGTAGTTACAACTGAGTAGACATGAAAAGCACAATTTAACCACATTCCCCAGATAGACATGCTGGGTCATGGATAAGAGCCTAATTTTAGTCAGAAAAACTGAAAATGTCCAAGTTTTTTGTCTTCTTGTTTTAAAATGCCTAGTAATAGTAGGTGTTACTCAAATGTTTTCTAACCTTCCTAATCAGTGATCATCAGTTAGCTCAAATGATGCTTGCTGCTTCTGCCACAATATTTTAACACAAAAACCTACAAAACTCATCTTATCTTATTTTATGTCTTATTACAACAAACAATCCAAAACTTCAATTGACTCCATCATACAGTCTGATTTTTTTTCCCAGAAGTTGGTGTGAAGACTTTAGGCAGAAGGAACCCCAGTAGAACAATTACATCTAAGAAGTTTCAGAATCTATTATCACAATTTAAATCAAGTGGAAGTGAAATAGGTTCATGTCTCTCAGTATTTATCACATAGGCAACTCAGTCATAAAGGTTTTCTTTTACTGACATGCTGGCCTACCCAATTAATGACTGTACCTTGAGGCTGAAGATAAGGAAGAAGAAGATCTTGAGCTCTGTGGGGTTGACAAGGATCCCTGGCTCCCTGGTAAACTGCACGAATGGCTGCCACTTCTTGATGACGCTTTGGATCTTCTTCTGCGTTGGCAGAAACCACCTGCTCATCAGAGATAGCTGTTGGTGTCATTTCCTACTAACAGTTGTCACAGTTGCTCAGTTGCTTTAATGTGATGGCTCTGATTTACTTGACTGCTCGTCCAAATCATCTCCATTGTCTCTCTGCTCCTCACAAGTCCCCACCTTCAGCAGTATCTCAGCCTCCTCAGAGAAAACCTGAGGAAAACCATCATCAGAATCATCACCACAAACTTAACAACCCCTGCAAACATTTTTGCAAACACACCTGATTACGCAGTTCCTCCTGTTGCCTTTGCAGCTCTGAAAATCTCTTCTCCCATGATGCTCTCTCGCAGGCGATCCTGGTCTTGATGGACAGGATATCTCTCTCGGTTTTGGTCACTCGTTTGTGGAGTGCGTTAACGCGGTCGGGGCTGCCTGGGATGGCTGCGGTCACCTTGCTTTCATAAGCTATTATATGACAACAAATATTAAAAATGTACTTCCATGAGTCTGACAGATGAAAAAATGATCTAAAGATCAAAGACTATTTTGCAGTAACTTTTAGAAATAATAAAACACATTTAAGAAAAATATTGGGATCTTAATATTACCTTGCTTCTTTTTTTAAATAAACAGCTTTTAACATGGAATTCAAACTCTGGTGACATTATCAAATAAAATAATGCTCATAGTCCTCATAGTCCTCATAATAACAGTGAGGACTTGTTCTTGTTCTTGCGTGTTAGATGAAAGTGTTGTACCTCATCAAATCCTTACCCACATGTCGTGTCACCTGTCTGCTTTTCTCCTCTATGATGTGTGCTTCCCTTGGTAAGAATTTAATTGCATTGTATGGACAGATCTGCAGAGCAAATGAGTGCCAAGCATTATACAAGTACTGTCGAAAGACATCGTTGTAAACTCACCAATAGATCTATACAACAACTCACCCATAGAAACCGGCATGTGCAGAGAATCCCCTTGTATGTCCATGTAAAGAACGTCTGTAGGATGTACGCTGTCATGTTTTTTTCCACTCACATAATTCGGCTCTAATCAGATAACAAACAAATCAACTGCTTGTATTTATTTTGTGTATCAAAACTCCTAGTAGAATAAAGTGCACCCGGTTTAAGAATTTTGTAACTATACAAGATTATACTAAACCAGGTTAGTTCATCTGTCGTAACATGCTATGGTGGGGACCTACTCTGCAGTGCTCACAAATTTGCCATTTTAAAATGTACACAACACTCACGTTTTTCAGTGGTTCATCTGTATGTTGAAAAGAGAATCCAAAGTGAGGTCACATGTAGATAATATCTTCCATTTAGCTTCTATTGCAGGTCTCTGATAAACATTAATGTGGTGTGTAAGGCTCATTGACCTGTTGCTATGCGCCAGCTTTGCATGAACAGCACTTGACGACTGCTGGGTAGGTAAATCTCACCTAATCTTCTTAGTCATGCAATTACACAGTCCGGTTGCAGCCTGGCTTCCTAATTTGGTCTGCTGAGCCTAATAGTGTATATAAACAGTGAGAGGAAACCCTCCGGTGCAACTAGTGTCCATGTACATCCACTCTGTTCTTTGGCATACTGAGCAACTCAATGCACAGATTGTTTTTGTGGATCCCTTAGTGGGGTTGGGAGGTGCTGGTGCCTATCCCAGCTAAAGTTCAGGGTGAGAGGCGGGGTACAGGACAGGTCGCCAGTCTGTTGCAGGGCAACACAGAGACAGACAGGACAACCATGCACACACACACTCACACCTAAGGACAATTTAGAGCAGTGGTCCCCAAACTACGGCCCGCGGGCCGAATCCGGCCCGGATCCGGCCCGCCTCCACATTTGGTCCAGCCCCCTGAACAATGCCAGAGAGCATTTAGGTTTTTTTTCATACATCGTATTTTCCAGACTATAACCCGCTTATATGTGGATTTTTCTTCAACCACCAGGGGGCTCTTTAGCAGGAAGTGAATCATTGGAAGTCAAAATTGGAAATCAAAGAAGAAAGTGCCCATTAAAATGGAATTAGGTTTTAATAGGGAATTGAAATTTGAGAATATTGTTGATCAGTTAAATAGCATTGAGGGGAAAAAGAAGATTTTTCAGGTTTTTTAAAATAATAATAATAAGAAGAAGGAAAGCACCTATTTTCATTTAACACATGCTAGGACACGAAGGATCAGCACTTTTACTGTTACAGTTACCGTTCAGAAACTACCGTAATCAGTTCAGTTAAATCTAAACTTGGCAACGTTTTCTTTTGCAACCGTAATAAATGTGATATTCAATTGACCTGTTATTACTCAGATTTTGGGTGTCCGCCCCTTTCTGGTGGTGCAGCATCATTGTGGAAAATCTAGAGCGGAAGAGATATCTGCGGCTTATATTTATTTGTATGTTTACTGTTTTTTTTTTTTATTATTATTATTATTATTATTTAAACTTTGGGGTTGTGGCTTGTAGTTCGGTGCGGCTCATAGTTCGGAAAATATGGAGTTGCTTTAAAAGTTGCATTGAAAGTTCATTAAAAGTGCCAACTTTGCATGATTTTGTAAATTATGATAATTTAATTCAAAGTTGGTATTTTTAATGGACTTTCAATGCAACTTTTAGAGCAACTTTGCATTAAAAATGTCATTATTTACTGTATGACACACCGCTTCAAATAAAGTCTTACCCACATTTTACCAGATTAATTTTTATATTTAATTATTTTCCTGTAGAAATATAAATAGGGTCATTTATGTATGTTTGTTCAGTCTAAAGTACTGTGCCACAGAGCTCATTCTCTGCCAATAAAACAAGAAATGTTTGTCTTTTTTTTCCATCTATGACAACACAGCTGCCTTCGGCTTCAAACTAAAAGCTTGGCATTGAGGTGAAATGTGAGTCAACTGGCCATCTATGCATGGTAATTGTTGGAGATGAATAGGTGTATAATTTTAAACCTTATTCAATTCAGGTATTCATTCAGAAACAAAGAAAAGCACTCATCTCAGATTGTGGGTCATGTCCTCATGCATGCTTATAATCAGTCATACAAACTGAACATATAGGGAACACGCAAACAGCAAAGCTCTTTTCATGGTATTGAAAGCAGACAATAATGGGTTTTAATCAGCTTATCGCAGACACTTTGAATGTGAGTGAACAGCGTTTGTCTTTTGACAATAATCTCAGACAAACTTTATCTATGCAAACCACATGATATTTGCTCTGTACTTGTTACTGAAAAATCCATCCTGGCTGTTTATAATTACTTGTAGTTAACATGTTAATGTTAATATATATATACATTTAGGAATAGGATCAAACAGGATATTTATGTCATGGATGTGCAGCAGACAAATAAGCAGCATCCATGTCAGGTAAACATATAAATCAAAATCTCTGCGAAATGCTTCAAAAGTCTTGTTAGACCTCAGGCAGTACTGAAAACAAAAAGATTTCCAACCCGCTTCAAGCAATGTGTAATTAATGAAGTGTATGTGACTCTCATGTTTTTAGCAAACTGAAAACAGATCCCCGTCACACCCACCACTGTTGTTCCTGTTGTTCAGCTACTGGCAATGGATTTTTGAACATCGGTATTAAGTACTGCAGTATAAGTTCCAGAAGTTTCCTTGGGATCCTTTATTGCGTTGCAGCACGCATGTTATTTCAGAGATCTTTGGTTACCAATGCTCAGGTTAACAATGCGCTTACATTTCTTTTAATCGTACACAACTGTGAATTTGTGTGGGGACTAAAACACCTGAGGGGAGATTTAGAAAGTTTCAATAATTGCTTTTCTCTAGTATCTCCAGGAATTTCTTTAAACACAATCCATGTAAAGGGAACACACAAACAATACAATTGTTGCCTATCTCAATATTAGTGAATTTCAAAACAAGTGGAGCTCCTAACCTCCTTTCAAAGAGGTTATAGGTCTCCCTAATCTTTTGCTTCTTCCACAGATTCTCTATAACTGGATCCCTCCAAAATGTTATGTTACTCCAACATATTTGTCAATATGCTAAAACACCTAAAAGATTAATTTAAAACTAAATCTGCCAAAGGTATGAATAATTTTGGGATTAACTATACTACACTATATGACATGTTACCTCTATTTATTACTTTAAGACTAATTCTATGGTCAGATTTGGATATATTTAACACAGCTTGCAGTTTGTACATAAAAGATGAAAGGTTTGTGTTATTTTAAGTGATTGTTAGTGCTAGTGTTAGTATGAACTACAGTCATTAACATTACTATATGTCATAACTAATAACATAAATAATTCCAGTAAAATGTCAGTTTTGAAACAATCTTTTGTGACAAAAGGTTGTTTTGCCATAAAACAACCTTTTGTCCAAAAAAATTATTGGAAGCATAATTTTTTTATCCTTTATGCTGTATTTTGCTTCCAAAAGCATGAAATCAGAATGTTGGTAAAAAGAAATGACTCAACACTTTTTAGAGTGTAATTTTGAGAGTTTTATGATTTGTAGAAAAATGGAAGTGAAAAATAACACCAGTGAACTTCATAGACAAAATTCGTGTTTAAGTTTGAAATTCATCTTAAGGTTAAGGCTCAAATATGCATGAAGTCAATTTAACAGCGATTGAAAGAAATAGTGTTCTGTCTATTTTATTATTTTGTTCTAGTATTGTCTTCCTTTAAATTAGAAATAATGTGTAAAGTAAGATACATAAGAAGGGGACAGGGTCAAAAACATTTGTACTTCTGCCTACCTCCTTTTCAAACAAATGTAAATATGTATCGCGTGGTGTTTGAATGTTAATGTGAATATGTTCGAAATTAACCAATAAACAAAACTAAATTTTGATGCAAATGATAAATGCATCAAAGTGCCACAAAAGCTTGAAAAACTATAATAAAAATTCGGACAGGGTTCAAATTTCACATTAAATAAACAATCCACAAACCCCTTGATGTTTTTATGGGACAGTTTCCCTATCATGAAGTGCAAAGTTTTGATGAAAGGTGGAAACAGTTCTGTCATCTGGAGTGGAGAAGTTCTTTTAGTGTTGTGCCCAAGAATTCTATGTTCTTTAGGCCACAAAGAGGTATTTGTTGTGTGGAGAGGCTTTATGGTTCGGAGAGAAAGAGGGGATCTGATTTCACATTGTGTTCAGCAGAAACCAGAAGACTCCCTATACAATCACACTGCAGGGCTCTGAAATCTCACCTTTACTCTTATAGACTTTTCGAAGGCCTCATTCACAGTTTTTCTTTTTTTTTTTTATAAAACTTTAATTGCTAGCTAGACTTCAGAGTACTTATGATAGGAACCTAACACTTCAACCAACTGTAATGCTATCTTCTTTTCTGGGGATTATGCTCACAAAATGTTTGACATTTTGAGAAGAGATGGAATTTAATTTTTGCTTTGTAAAGAATTTATTTGTTGCCTTTGCTCTGAATAAGTGCTTAAAAGAGGCATTTAAAGTCGTCCCTAAGGTTGACCACATTTGGGGCTTAATCAGAACTACAATCGGACATGAAAGAGTTTTCATCCACAGCTCTGGGTGCTTTGGAAATCCCCACCTTCTCCCCCCAGAAAGTGTTTACCTGTACTCATTACCACATTATTTTAAGACCCCACCCAACAACGGCAGCGTGCCTCCAGTCCCCTCCCCCGACGTGGTGCAGGTGAGAGTTTCCACTTGTTACGCTGCGGTGAAGTCAGGAGGAAGCAAACTGGGGGAGGAGGAGGTAACAGAGCGCAACAAAGAAAGGGAACTCCAGAGAGAGAACAAGCTTACTTACTTCAGCCTAAGTTGAGATAAAGGCATGCAGAGTGCATCACAGGTAAGTGGATTTTATGTATTTGTTTTTGGCTAGCCAAGCCTCCGAAGTCGAGGAAAAAAGGAAAATAGTAAAGTGCAGGTTGGGAAAAACAGGATCATGTAACCGGAAAATTAGTTATTTGGAGTTCAAATGTTGTCTTCTATATTTTTTTAAGTAAACATTTCAATAATAATAGGTTTCTTATGTGTAAACATATCAGTGCTTTTGTCTTTCATATCAAACATTCTTTATTTTTAAAATATCCCAAACTATGCTCTGCCTTCACAAATGTATGTCGTCTTTCCATTAAAACAATTACAATCTTTAAAATGATGCAATTTCTAGGATTCTGATAGCCAACATGTCCAAATGTCAGAGTTGGATCTTACACATTTTACCTTAAACTCAACCACCCCAACCTTTGAGGCTGCTTCGCTAAAAAATAAAACTAGTGTTTCTCAAACCTCTGTAACATTCTCAGCAGGTTACAGAAGAGACTTCTTTAAAATTTAATATAAACTCCAACTTTTATTGGAAAATGGCCACTTTCGCAACAGTTAAAAAAAAAAAATCAAGGTTGAACTCTCCTTACAAATACAACACTTTGGGATTCCTTGTTGAGATGGAAGCTGAAGTGACCGATGTTGTCATCA